CGAATTACCCTTCTTTGGACAGAATCCAACAGTTCTTTCATTTATTTTTTATTTTTTTATTTATTTTCACAAACAGGAATACAAAAAGGACGAACTCAGAGATAGTATTCACAGATAGGTGTACTAAATATGCCATGTTGTTAGGAATTCAAATTCCATTATACAGTGCAGAATTTTATATATTTTAATTGAAAAAGATAAATTTTCAATATATCATCAAATAGATGCTGGAACAAAATGTTTCTTGAGTTTGTTCACAAAGATTGTTGAAGAGTCGGAAAAAATATCAATCTCTATTATGTTTGAAATGGAGTTATAACTTTTCAAGCATCGATGTAAAGGGGAGTTGAGATAGTAATTTGTGTTCGGTATGGATGTATGGAACAAGTTATAATAGCGAGTGGAATATTGTGGAACATTGTAATGAATCAAGTTATTTATATATGTGGAATGAATGATTCCATTTATAATTTTGGAAGAGAATTTGATATCGGCGATAGCTCTTCTGTCAGCAAGACTAATCAAATTGAGTTTTCGAATCACGAAGTGATTTTGTGGCGTGTTTTTGAAATATTTTTTGTTGATATAAGCAATAAATTCATTCTGAATACTTTCTATTTGTTTGGTGTATATTATATAATAGGGATTCCAGATGATTGAGCCGAAGCCTAGCAGACTATTCACGTATGACATGAAAAGAGTACGCAAGGTATTATAATCTTTGAAAGGATACGTTGTTCTCAAAATGAAACCTAGCATTCTGTTCGCTTTCTTAGAAATGTAAGAAATATGTTTATTGAAATTCTTTTTTGAATCAAAAATAATTCCCAAATCCTTCACTTCACTACATATGTGGAGATAATGATCCTGCATGATATAGTTATGAGTAATTGAATTAGAGTTTCTACTAAAAGTCATCTGATGGCATTTGTTGAGATTCAGGAATAGGGAGTTATTTCTGCAGTACTTTGAGAAGCAATCAAGGTCCTCTTGAATAAGCATACAATCATTCAAGTGTGAAACTGTATGAAATATTTTTAGGTCGTCAGCATACATAAGGAAATACGAGAATTTGAAACACTCAGAGATGTCATTTATATAAATATTGAAAAGTAGGGGACTAGATGTGAGCCTTGAGGAACACCCGACGTTATATTGACTGATCTTGAACGATAATTACAAATACAAACTGTCTGATTACGATTAGTTACGTAAGCCGGTCACACCAACATCAGCCAGCTTTTGTACCAGCAATGTGTGATCGATCTTATCAAAAGCTTTGCTGAAGTCGGTGTTGACGGCATCTACTTGAATTCAGCTGTTCAAGATTTTTAAAATATATTCAGTATATTCGAATAAAGTTTCAACAGAGCGCATTCTGACAAATCCATGTTGTTGTATATTCAAAATGTTCATGACATCATGATACAAATAATCAAAAATAATGCTTTCGAATACTTTTGCTAATATACATAATTTGGACACTGGTCTGTAATTCTGAGGTAACTGTTTTTGGCCAGATTTATGAATTGGAATAACTAATTATTTTTTCCAGGCGTTTGAAAAGTGCCCTTTATCTAAGGATTTATTGAACAGGAGATAGAGAGGAAATGACAAACTCTCTGGGTTTCTAGGGTATGTTTGGGTGAAGCACTTCAAAAATGGGAACAGTATTTCAGGACAGGTCGGATTTGTGCCTCATAAATCATCAGCAGCTGACTGGAAGTGAAAAAGCTTCTGGCCCGAAACAGAAAACCATGTTTTTAGGATGCAATGTGATCTAGAGTCTGCTCTTCCAACTCCGGTAGAGGTGGAGAACGATCGAAAGATTATACTCTCGATAGTATCGATAGTATTTTCAAAAACCATCGATATTATCGATAGTACTATCGAGTATCGATCTGGAAATTTGGTCAAAAAATATATTCGTCCTCATTTTTTTATCTATTTTTCTCCAGTTAGATCAATAGTGAGAATAAACAGATCATAAATAACAAAGAACCATATCAATGTAGTCTTCTATGGATGATTCAGGTTCAAAACATCAGGAACAAGAATATTTGAAATATTGAAGAGGAAAATATCAAAATAGACAGGCAAGTGCGGTCCTGAAGTGAATCTCTACTGGAGTAACTAGTTGTTTTATGATATATTAATTTTGTTGTATTATTTTTATTATTGCCGTTTATAATTTCGTGAAAAACATCCATTCTTCTTCAAAGTAGTCCAGATTTTTTCAAAGAAAAAACAAAATAACACCAAGTTGGTCTCCATTAGGATTTTTGGCACAATCGATTATGTAACTAATTTTTTCAGAAATGATTTGTAATATTATTACAACTCATAATGTTTCAAAATTTACTCTTATATTGTCCATGTTATTTGGTTGGTATCATTTGTCACTGTCATTTTTCTTGTATTTTGTCAACGTCTGTTGCTATGCTTGATGCTTCGCCTTTACCTTGGCTTTTGTCTTTCACAAAAATGGCCATTTGAAGATTACACTCTTTTGAGTGAATTGAGTAAATATAATTCTCTCAAGTTTGTGCCAATGTTGAACCTGATGATAGTCGGGTTATTTCGGCTGTTTAGTCGATTCCAAAATTTGAGCATTCCTTTACCGGGCAGATTTTTGGCCAGATGACCACGGCTCTTTAATTTCTAATTTTATTTTATAATGTGATTTCCACATGACCTTATAGGAATCTTTGTTCCTCAGTAACTTATTATCTGTTGATTAAATATCTTTTTTCTGTGACGGGAAAAAAGTTTGGCATTTCATCTCTGTTGGCAGGTTATAAAATGTCACTTTTCATAAATTACTTTTTTCCCGTGGGAAAAAAGTGAGTACTTTTTTCCCGGATATATATCACATATATACTCTGTTAATGGCTTTTGTTGTGCTATAGTTCCGAAAAATGAGTCGATAATACCGTCTCCGAGAAAGAACTGCAAGTCCTTTTATCTTACATTCGACTTCGTGGTTTCGTATATTACTAAACAACTACTGAATTCGCAATTTTTTAAAATCAAATCACAGAATTGAACTGACAGAAGTGACATCAGATATTTGATCACTTCAAAAGAATGATAAAGATGTCTATAAAACGCAGGTGTCCCTACTGCTAAAAACTTGAAATTTCACTTCGATAATTTTCAGATTTCGAAGTAATATCTTCTCAATATTGATTCGTCCTTCCTTCTGTCACAGAAAAAAATAGTGTATTATACACGGGAAAAATATTAGATTTTAGCTCACGGTTTTTTGTCTCCCTCCGCTACGCGTCGGGAGACAACACAACCTGGAGCTAAAATCTACTACTTTTTTCCCTTGTATAATAAATAACTATTACAGGTATTGTATACTGATGTGTTTGAGCCGAAACTATAGTCGCACAAATGATACAATTTGTGTAATATAATTTTTGTGGTCGACCGAGTTGTTTTTTTTTGAGTTTATAATTTCAATATTTCTGTTAGTTCTCTTGTTGAAAACATTTTCACAATTCTTTCTATGAAAAAAATTGATCTGTTTTGATACTCTTTTCATCATGAGATCGCCTTGACTTCCGATTTGAACCTCGATCACCTGTCACTAATTTATTTGTCCAATTTTGGAGAAAATTGTCTCGGATAGATGTAGCTGGGACATAACAATTTTTTTCTAGATATTGTTTTCTTTGTTTCAACATACAAATTTTCATTTGAATCTTTTCTTCTTGTTCCAATTTGTTTTTAGATCACCTTAGAAGCTGAATGAGTCGCAGGCGTTGAGCATCAATATTTAGAAGCGATTTCAAACTTACTGTTATACGGTGACTGTCGAACTCTGGGAGACAAAAAGACATGATTTCTGCACAAAATTTTGGACCGATATTTTATCGATGGTATTCAAAAACCATCGATTGATTTTACTGTGCAAAACTATCGATACTATCGATAGTGCTATGGACAGATTTCCACCACTAAACTCCGGAAGGTTAGAAGGCACGTCATTGGCATTGATAACGATTTTTCTTGGGGATTAATGGCATTTTGGTTGAGGTAATGAGAAGAAATCATGTTGTTGATACACTTGAGATAAAGACATTCTAGTTTTTCAGTCATTTTTGAAATCAGAGATTCGATTTTTAGAACAGACGTAGACCTTTATGGGGCGCATTTTTCGCAATATTCAGCCCGAATGACAGCTTTAATTATTTTATTGTTCCAAACTATTCCATCTCTCTGTATATATAGCTAGCTTTTGATTCAGAAACATCAATTATGAATCGGACGAATATGGAGATTATGAAAAGATTGGAATTGGAATTTTGCATTGAAATTTGGTAAGTAGCGTCATTAGCAATTTCCAAGCAACTTGTTCAATTAACTTTTTCTTCAATTTTCGCGGGATTGTAGTAGGCTAGGTTTGAGATATTTTCCCTGAACTGTGGTTTGAGGCTGTCACTTATGTCTACGTCTGTACCAAAAATCGAACCTCTGCTTTCAAAAATGACTGAAATACAGGTGTGGCCATCATAAATGTGTCATACTGTACACACAAGTTAGAAGCGATACAAAACTTCTTAGGACAAACGAATAACAGATCAAAACAGGCAATAACGTGTCTACAGTGTGTGCGATTTCAATCTGCAATACCCTCCTTATTTGGTACCCGTCGACCGATTTTCAAAAACAAGAATGCCATAATATAAATATTATCTTTCAGGAAATAGAAATACTGTCCCTATGAAATCATCCGGACCCTGTGAACTGAGCAATACATGATAGATCCAGCCGAATAGGTGAATTCATCTTGAGAAAGAGTCTGAAATAAAGAAATAAATCTCAAATTCCGAGGGTTGATCCAAGATTTCGAAAAAAACCTCAACATTTCGAGGAACACTCAAAATTTTGTGATCGAATCCTGGAAAGTTGAGAAAAAATCTCTAATTTCTAGAAAAAATCTCAGAATTTTGAGAAGAAATATACAAATTTCGTCTGCCTCTCGGCTTTACCTTATTTTTATTCAGCGATATCGTGTGCAGTTGCGGCATGTAGGGCAGTACCAGCGAATCTGTCAGCTGGTTGTTGTCCAAAATAAGCTCCTTCAATTCGAAGAACCCTTCCAGGCCCTTCAGGCTGGCCAAATCGTTGTAGCTGAGGTCCAGGCTCTGCGTTTTGGAGCCGTACAGCTTGATCAGGGCTTCGGGGATTTTCTGGCATTTCTGACCGCTGTAGCAGAGCTGAAAAAAAGGCGACCAATCAATAAGGATATCCAATGACTGGTCAAACTAGGCGCTGGTTGGCACACATGACATTATTTATGTGTGATAAATCGATTTTTCTGCAATCGACTCAAAAGCCGTCTATTTTTTTCCAAAATCAGGTCTTGAAATTGAGGTTTCTGTGACACAATAAAATGACTAGTATGTATGTTGCTAGGCAACACTTTATGTGTCGTGGTGTCGAAGACGAGGGATAATTTTCGAGATATTCATAAGCGAGAAAAAAATTCACGGAAAATAATTTGACCTCGTGTGGTATTTGGTGAGAAAATTTAACAACAGACTGTGTTTGGAAATTTGATAATTCCAGAATTCATTTGTTCATTTGATTTGCTTACAGATTCATGAATAAATCCAGTTTGGGTCGCAGTTTCGGCACCCATAATAGATTCCTGATTTCTACCTATTATATTTGCATAAAAATATCAGTTTAAAATGTAACATATTATATTCTTTCATTTTACATTAACTTCTAGATACTACAAGTGATAAGAAATTTTTCATAGGTATAGGTACGTAGTAGTAGAGAAAGGGGAGGCGGTCGCCTAGCAAGTAGGCCCCAGTGAGCCTTCTTTGCCAACCCCTGCTGCACACGTCATCTTCACATAATATCTACTACTATATTTTGAAACCTGTCACAATGGATGAAAAAAAGGAAGTTGTAAAAAATTTCAATACCTCTCATGCTCAGGATATGTTTGGTGTGAGCAAAGTTGAACCCATAAATAAAAATGGGAATATCACAGATACAACAAATTACCGACTGATATTGTTAGTCACAGGAACAATGACTATGGCGTTCCTCAGGGCTGTATTTTAGGCCCAATATTATTCTTGGTTTACATTAATGACCTTCCTCGTAGACTGGAGAACACTGACACTATCCTTATGCTACTTTCATAAATCAGAATAAAGTTATTGATGATGTTCATGAATATTCCAATAACGCTGAAAAAATTGCAGAGACATATTTTTCTTCTATCAAACTAAAGATTAAAGTGGAAAAAACTCAGAAAATAACTAAAGCAACTAGGAAGAATACTACAAATATTGCCCCAGTTGAATTATCAGGATGCCATATCGATATAGCATATTAACATGGAACGTTCATACCGAACATCTCGCGAAGAAACTATCTTTAAATTTGTTTTTATTGAGGCGATTGAGGAGATCGGTTTCACATGATTTGATGCGATTGGCATACTTTGCTTTCATGAAGAGTCACTTGCAATAGGGGATTCTGATCTGGGGACACAGCGCAAACATGCAATACCTTTTTAGGCAACAAAAACAAGTAGTTAGAATTATATCAGGCTCAAGTCCTAGGGCACATCGTGAAGAGCTATTTATTGAATATAATTTTCTTAGTTTGCCTAGTATGTACATTTATCAATGCCTGGTGTATGTGAAAGAACACTTGACTGAATACAAACAAAATTCTGATATCCATTCTCACAATACGAGAAATAAGAATAATATTGTCATTGCTACAAATAGACTTCAGAAATCTCAACAAGGTTTCAATTTCAATGGTCCGAGTTTGATCAACAAATTACCTGATGATATATAGAAATTGAATTAAATGCCCTTCAAATGTAAATTAAAAAAATATTTGATCAGAAAATGTTTCTATTCTATTCAGGAACTCACAGCCTAATTGACACATGACATGATATAGATTTATTAAACTTCTAGTTAACAATACTGAAATGTGATATTTATAGAGCTAAGTGTAAATGTTTGTTTGACCAATGTGATCATGTTTATTGTTATTTATTCTAGTTCCTTTATTTTTGTTTTCATTTATCTATTTATTATCAAACGATTTTTTATATATGTTGACGAGTGTAAACATTTTTCAATGTAGTAACACTATAAATGAATACAAATACTAGGTATTCCTTCTCCTAATTCTCCTTTTCGAATCTCCTTGGTTTCTGATGAGGGTCAGTATGTCCGTCCACGTTAGTAATCTGATCTTCCTGTTGAAGCGTATCAGTACCAGAGATTGTGCCCAGTCAACACTGGGCAAACATCCACATCTCAGGGATGTCAATATCGTCAAAAATGGGATTTAGATGTCCTTGTCACAGTGCGACACTCCTAAGATATCAAAATCAATAATATATGTCCTTGCGATATCATATTGTTGTCATTACTGCGATATCACACTGCGACATCCCTGTGATGTCAAAATTAGCATTTAGATATCCCTGTGATGTCAAATTGTTACTTGCCATAGACGTTATACCGTGACATCCTTGTGACATCAAAATCTAATACAGATATCTCTGCGATGTCATATTGTTGACATTACTGCGATATCACATTGCGACATCCCTGTGATGTCAAAATTAGCATTTAGATATCCCTGCGATGTCAAATTGTTACTTTCCATAAACGTTATACTGTGACATGCTTGTGACATCAATATCTAATATAAATATCTTTGCGATATCATATTGTTGACTGCTCCCAATTATTCGATAAATTAGTGATCATCTGGCCTAAGTACCGGCGTAGAGAAAAAAAGGGAGGTACTTCACTTGTAGTGGACTCCCTCATCACCATGATGACGCCACGTGTCCGCCACCACGGCCGGAAGGCGAATCCTCAATTTGTGTTAAATGTTTATTTTAAAGTAACGCGGGAAGTTGGCAAGAAGTTGGCAACACAGATCGTAGGCAATGTTGGCTAATCTGAAAGCTGGAGGCGAGGGGCGACGCTGGAGGTGACGGGAGGTCAAACGGAAGGCATCAATTCACTTTGACATAATTTCCGTATGGGCGCTTCCTATTGACCAATCAGAGCGATTTAGGCTATGGCGGTAAATTCAAATATATATACACCTCCATTATTATGGTCTTCCTATGAGGAGTGACTGCTACAAAGAAATTATTGTGTTATTGTTATTATCATAATTATTATTATTATTATTATTATTATTGATTATTGTGTTGTTCACTTGGTATTTAATTAAGTATTATATACATCTGCTAGGCAAAGTGCACATTTCACGTTTATCAATGATCAAGTGTATACTTTACCACTTTACCTCTATATCCAATTTCTTGATTTTAACTTCATATCGCTGTATTGAAAACATCCATGATTTGGCAAACCTTTTATTTCTCAAGCAACAATTTTCAACTCAACTCCCAACGAAAAGCACAAAATTGAACTATGTTACTATATATATTTTAGGTCGCCGCACGCAGGCGCCTCTTCGGTCGCTCTGATTGGTCTATAGGAAGCACCTATACGGAAGTTAAGTCAGAGTGAATTCAAGCAAACGGGAGGTGACCGCGTTTCGTGACCGTAGCAGTAGCACGTGACGTGACCGGCTTTGTACTTGTACTTTGTACTATTCCCAAACAAAGCTATTTATTTAGTTCGTGATAAAAACTGAAAGCTAAAAGTGAACTGTGAGTATTTTAGTGAAGTATCAGAGTGAGATTCCAGTATTCCTTTTCTCCTTCATAATAATTATGTCCAAACGTTCTTTTTCGTGTTGTTCATACCGACATAGAAGGCGTTTGATAAAGAACGCTTCGGGTATTTTGGATCAACATAGAATTGATTTTGAATCAAATGTGTGCTTTGTGAATAATTCAATGTTATACTAGTGTTTTTGTGTTTTGAGGAGATATGATTTATATTTTTATTGTGAATATATTTTATACTTTGTAAATGGGTGGCCAGGTAGCCGTGCGGACAGAGTGTCTATATTCTAATTCGCATTCGCTTGCCGGTCGTGGGTTCGATCCCCGTCGACTGCAGAAATTTTTCTGATGGCCCAAGAAAGTGTTTGGGATCACACGTTAAAAGGTAAGGCCCCCGTCATTCCTTGCTCGCACAAGACTTTCGAAGACTTTTGAGGGTTGCTCGTAAGGGGGCAACCGAATGACGGATAGAACAAATTTTAGAACAAATTTTAGAACAAAAACAAATAATTTAAGGTTATGCTAGTGTTTTTATGGTTTGAAGAGATTGTATCTATATTTTTATTGTAAATTTATATATATTTTCTTTATTGAAAATATATTTTGGTTTTTCTATTTGTTGTTTGTTTTTGAAAAATCGCATAGACGTTGACGTCTCATGAATATAACAGTAAAGATATCGCTGCTAAATCTCTGTGTTACATCGCTGCTAAGTCGCTGTGCTACATCCCTGATACGTTATTAGGCGACATCCTTTCTCCATCTCAGAACTACATAGCATAGACGTCGCAAGCATGCATCATGAGTGTGACAAAAAGGAGTCACTGGGACGTCCGTGAGACGTAACGATGCGAGTCGCATGTCACGAAGTGACATCGCAGCGATATCTCAGAGATGTATCTGTGTTGGCTGGGTGGTATGACATTTTATATAATCAATGCAGTTAGGGCACCAATGGATAGGGACGGTTGCATAAAGAAAAATTGATCATACAATCAACTGATGCCACAATAACTTTGATGTTATGTTGAATGTCATTTGCGTTGCATAAACAATCTGATGTTATGATAATCATTTCATTTACTGATGACGAGAAGGGCGTGGCAACAGCGCTAAATCTGTCTGCTCCTTACGTTTCGCGCATTGTTGATACACATTTTAGGTTAGGTTTATTTGCTTGATTAACATTCAGATTGACAGAAGTTATAGAAAACCTGCATCGGGTATTGAAATCATTGCCATCATACATTTTGAACGGATTGTTTCTATTTCGAAAGGTTCTTGACTTGAAAATCAGTAGTTCTTCTTCAGATAGTGAAGATAGTGATGAGATAGACATTTTCTGTGAAACCTACTATAGTCATTCATTTACATTATTGTGTTCATTTACCTACTCTACCTTTTTGAAATGAAACAAGAACTGAGAAGAAGAAAAATTCTGCGAAATATCCTAAATAATTTGGCGGAACTCTCACAAGTCATTTGCTGGTTTTCACTTTAATGAGTAGTCGATCA